GGAATACAACAAGATCATACAACAGATCTTTGATGAGAAGCCACGAACATCAGCACGTAGACCAGAATCCTCACAAGATCAAAATAAATCATCAGTCAGAAATGAATTGAGAACCGAAGTCGGCTCTGCTTTCATTCCTCAACAGCTTTCACGTCCTCTATCACACGTCAAAGAGTTCGCCGCCGCGAGGCCTGCCGACACTTTTTTAAGTCGTGCCTGTGAGCGTTTGCTCCTCTGGCGTTCGCTACTTTTAACATTTCTCTAAAGAAGGTGCAGGTGTTTCCGCACTAGTTCTCTAGCTGTAGTTTTATGAAGCGGTGTCAGCGAGTGTCATTGACTGGGGCTCGGGATGTGACGCTTTGCACAGTTAATGCTCCAGCTTGCCAGCCTCTGGCTACAGCCCGACATCTGAGCCGCAAATCTGCGCGTCTGCGTGTGTGTGTGTGCGTGCGTGCGTGCGTGCGTGCGTGTGTGTGTGTGATAGAGCTGTAAAGCCACCGTTTGACAATCCTCTTTCAGCAGGCCGCCCTGCGGTCGCTCCCGGCTACAGAGGCCAGCTGGGCAACGCGGAGATGGAAACGCTGAGAAGAGACGGGGAGGAAGATGAAGGAGAAGCGAGGAACGACTGATCAGCGCCACCCAGAGAGGGCGGAGCAAACTGCTCCCCTCCGTCCCGACGCGGCGGGAGATTCCCTCACCTTTACATTCATTGGTTCAAATGTATTTGTCTAGGCTATTTATGCAAAGTGGTATGTTTTTCCCCAATTATACCAAATGTAACTTTTAAAAAACAATTTAAATTCTTTTTTTTTTTAAATAAATGTAAACAACACATCATTTTTGTCAGATGCTCAGAAAAGAAAAGAGACCGTTTCTGTAACAAAACTTTTCTTCCAGGATAAAATGGCATAAAAAGCGGCGGCTACAATTGTGAAAAAGTAAGTGTCTTAGAAACACAACTAAAATGTTTGTGAGCAGTGTAAATCTGTAGAGGTGACATCAGTGGCGTTAATATTCACACGGCTTCTTCTTGATCGTCTTCCTCCCGGCTTTCTCCACATCTCACTCTCTTTAGCGGTCCTCCATCTCTCAGATCACACACACAGTTGCAACTCATCATACACACAGATGCCCACAAACATACCCGTGTGGGAGCGCGCGCGCGCACGCGCACACACACACACACACACACACACACACACACACACACACACACACACACACACACACACACACACACAGATGAGACAATTAAAAGCTGTCCTGTTTCTTCTTCCCAGTCTATGCCAACTTCATTTGCAAATGAAAAGTTTTCTGCAAGGAGCGTTCTTTTTGCTTCTGGGGCATGGCAGCACGCTGTGCGTTTGGGGGTGGGGTCGAGGAGAGGGTGACAGAGGGAGTGTATGTGTGTGTGTGTGTGTGTGTGTGGCAGGGGCCCAGATGAAGCAGCCCGTGCCCGGGGCCTCGCTGTCCGCCCGCGGTAGCAGCAAGCCTGTTCCTTCTTCCCCGGCCCGCCGCGACCATTTGTTCCATTAACCAATCTCCTGGAGCCCTGGTGCAAACACACACACACACACAAACACACACACACACACACGCAGGCACTCATACTTAAACAACTGCTTGCACAGCTCATACCACACATGGCCCTCCATCCCTCCTCCATCCCTCCCACCCTCCACTGCACTGCTCCAGACGCGTGCACCATCTTTCTTGACGGAGGCCATATGGCCCGGTGAAGCCTGTGGATCTGCAGGCACATCTGCGTATATGTTGCTGCTCTCCTTAAGAGGGCCGCACAAGGGAGCCGTGTGCTCACGTAAACACAGTACACGCACACGCACACCCAGGGCTGACAAGACGAACTCCGCTGTCACGATGTGTGGTTAAGAAAAGGTTCAGTGTTCTGTTCAGTGTGTGTGACCTCAGTGTGTACATGCGTGGTGATAATTGGGGAAACAGCCTGTGAACAGCTGTGGGGTGAGAAAAGGTTGCGTGGTGTTCGGTACAGGAAGCAGAGGGGAGGAGGAGAAAGTGGAGAGCAGTGAAGTTAGAGCAGAAGAGGATGAGCACAAGTTAGGAAATATTAAATGAGCCGCAAAAACTTTCTCACTGAGATCTTCCTTTCTTCATTAATCAATTGTCTTGCTTTTGTTATTTTAAAACAGGGAAAATTCACACAAAAACCGGTTATATTAGTTGTGCCTATTAGGATCTCTATTCAGCGTCTATTAGTTAATGATATGCATCCATCCTCTGCATTTTCTTTTCCTTTTTTACAAACCTTCCTGCGAAGCTAAAGGTCCTTTGAGTCAAGTTTAAAGAAATGTCCTTTTTACGGCTGAACTATAGATATGAACCAGCACAAATGGAATAACAACTTGTGTTGAGTGAGATTAAAAACGGCGCCCAAAATATGAAAAATATGCTTGTGACAAAAGAAATAAAAATGTAACAACCAAGTACCCATTAAACTAATCATTCACAGCGACCGGCTTTACGTCTTCTCCCAACTCTCCGTTCTATCCTTCTACTTCCAGGCATTACAAAAAAAAAAAAAACACCAGACACAGTGAATTAAATAATTAACTGGTGCAGCAAAACATTGTGTGCTAAAAACCCCTGTGTAGCTTGGCAATCAGCTCGCCCATTTAAAAATAAATCAAGCTGATTTTCCAAATGTTTGGTGCGTGGTGCGCTGTTGCGGCTCTTCGCAGCACAGATTGCAGGCCGATGGAGCGGCCGTGGGGAGGGGCGGGGCGCTCCATTATCGAACCCACTTGCACCAGCTTGTTAACACGTACACCTTAACCCCCGGGCGGCGCGGCGGGGAGCCCACCGAGCGCTCGGGGGCCTGCGGGGACCATCCGCCGTATATATGTATATATAGCCGATGTACCGGCGCAGGGAGAACGAGACTGACGCACGTAACCATGAATATGCAGCAACAGAAAAGGGAGAAAGTTCAGCCTCCGCGGCCGAATTCAGATGTCAACGACGGCAACGTATCGCTGCAAAAAAGCTTGGATCGCTGCTGGGGATCTCTTATTTGAATTAATATCTTAAACTATAATCAGTGTGAAAAGAATATACTTTGGCAGGTTTTCAGGTTTTTGCACTGGTGCCACAAATACCATCAGATGCTGAGAAACCAAGTACCAGCTGCAGAGTGGATGATCGTAAACGTGAGTCATGCCTCTCTCGCCTTCCTGTCTCTGTACTGTAACTCCTTACAATAAATCCCCGAGAACATGACATATAAAATGCCCCAAAAGATGCTTTTATTTACTACTCAAAGTAATAAATGCATTCCAAAACATACACATTTCTACCAAGTTATCTCCTGAAAGTGACACAAAGAAATGTGGTCAAGCAGCTCAGCGGTCGCTGCAGAAGTGACCTCGTGTGGAGCTGAACTCAAGAGATTGTTCTGAAATATCAGGAGCATTAATCAACCGAGTAAGTGTCAAAGCAGAAAATAAAGCTCACTAAACGCCAAGAGTGATTATCGTGTTTCAGTTGGGAGAAGGGAGAAGTTAGGTGCCAACTTCCCAGCCAATCCACTTTTGGCAGCCGGATTCCTACTCTGCTGAACCTCCTGAGAACATGCAAGAGCAACCAACACACACACACACACACACACACACACACACACGCATAAAACATACCAGCGGAACATATGCGCGAAAACATACAGAATATTCATGCTTCACACTCCCTGACATCTTAGATTGTTTTTCAGTTTACGAAACGCACAAAAGGAGTCACACACGAGCCGGAGACAGCTGTGACGTGGTAAAATTTGTTGTTTCTTTGGCAGCGTCTGACTGTCGACAGGTTAACACCGGTGGGTGGTAGACAATATGTAGTGTCGGTGATGGAGCGGGAGGAAAGGGTGTGCGGTTTGGGACTTTGTGTAAGAGGAAGGGGGAGTCGGGTTGGGAGGGGGGGGGTACCGGGGGACGGAGCCTGCACAGTGGGGACACACCCACACACCCTCGCCCGCATTGGCAGAGCCGCGCTGTATGCCAGGCGCCCTGTGGAGAGACACACACACACACCAACTGGGCTCCACACTTATGGAGACGCCTGCATCGTACACGCACCTTCTCACACGCACGCGCACGCACACACACTCACACACACACCAAATACACAGCTACTTTTAGCTGAAGTTTTTGTATCAGCAAAGCCCCCGAAAATCTGATCCTTCCCTTCCACTTAGAGCAGTGGATTTACTTCATGCCTTTTGAATTCAGCTTTACAATAGGAAGTGTAAAGTGTGTACATTACAAATTGCCCTCAAGAAGCACGATAACAAGAGTGGACAATAGTGCAGAAAGCCCATCACGACTTGAGTGAAAGGCTGAATTAGGGACTGCGTCACTTTAAAGACTCCATCAGGTAGTGTTTAGATTCAGTCAAAGTCACCGAACCAGTAAAAGTATATCATGAATTAGCTGCTTGTTAACTTCAGAACCCGTTTTGTATTGGTGACACTAAAGTGTTTGATGTGGTGCACGTCATGCTTGTCGGGCTCTTACTGTCCTCTGCAAATGCTTCACGGAGTCAGTAATTCATTTATTGTTTGAAGCGCCACCTGATTAAGATTGCGGAACCTCCACAGACTGCAGGAAAAGTAAACTGATGGCAAAAAATAAAACAATTCATGTAAGAATTAAAGTTTACAGGTGCATAAGTTGGACTGGTTCGGGATTTTGTATGAGGGGAACTGCACTCGTTTCTTTATTTTGTAAAAGCTTGCTGCCAGATTTTTGAAAATGGAAAGAAATGACAACTAGAAAGCACTTGGCAAGATTTATCTCCAACATGATATTGTAATAATGCAAATATATTCATAAGACACGTGTGGCACCTTTTCATTGAAATGCTTCTAGTACTTCTGGGAGTAAAATATATTTTTTTACTGAAAAAACGTTACATTTGGATATACAGAACGTGTATACACAGGAAGTGTGGTTGTGTGTGTATTTGTGCACCTGTCCTTCATGCGCTGGTGCATGCGGCCGTGCTGGACACACTGGTGCTCCATGTCGGAGCAGCGAGCTCTCAGACTCTTCACCGTCTCTTCCAGGTGCTGCTTCTCCAGGGCCAGCTGCTGCAGCGCTGCTCTGTGAGCGCACACACACACAATTAATACAGATGCAACACTTTAATTTGTAACATGTACGACACAGCATGCGAGAAGAATATAGTACGACATGAAGAGGATTTAAATGAAATACATAAGAGAGTCTTCACTGATCTTTAATACAAAAGGCGACTTAAGATCTCTGGTAATAACTTCCTCACATAAACTATGTATGCATTGAAATTCTCTCCTTATGCACACACACTTGGGGTGGACTCGACTGAATGGCACTTTGTGTTCCTGTTGAATTGTATTATCATATATGACAGGTGTCATTAGACGTATTAGGTGTGCATAATCAACTAGAGTGTATAATTGAGGAAATGCATTTCGTAGTAGAACGGACATCCTGTACCGGCACAATCGGACAACGGACATTTTTCTCAAAGACTTTAAAACAACCGATTTTATTAACCGAGCGATACAGATGTGTGAAAAGAAGAGATGTGCTCTGAACCGCTGTGGCTGTCGCTCCACGGACCAATCAGTGGGAGCGGCTGACAGCGTCTCCGCGTAACCTCGCTTAGCCCGGCTCGGGCCGTCCAGCAGGACTTTAACCGCTACAATGGGCTTGGACTCCAGGAGCTCAAAGAGCCCGAAGCACAAAACACACCAACACCACACTGCTGCTAAACTACACAACACACACACAGTCAGCAGATGTAGGCTATGAGACTTTGTTTCCATAAAAACAAAAGAAACAAACAAAGAAAGAACGCACATTCAAGGTGGCAGCTATTAGTGTGTACTTGGTATTATTGTCCACCCGGAAGAAAGAAAACAGCGGGGTGTGTGTGTGTGTGTGTGTGTGTGTGTGTATTGTCTGCACGTGTCCTGTGGATGGTGAGGCCAGTGCGATCTGGCTGGGCCAGATTGAGGGCTGTCATGTGACTAATGTGCAGCACAGCTCCAACAGCTGACAGGACACTGGACCGTGGGTCACTCTCTCTCACACACACACACACACACACAAGTACACACACACACACACAAGTACACAAACACACAGATGGAGAGCTGTGACGGCCCGCTGTGACTGCTGTAGCATCAGGTTAACAAGAAAACAGGTCAGGCTGGAAAGCAGTGTGTAGTATGTTGACGTCCTCCGCCCCAAACAGCTCGGAAGGAGGACGCTTCGTGAAGCGATGGCGTCCAGCAGACGGAGGAAGAAAACTACGGAGGGAATAAATGACTAGAAACAAGAGGCTACGCTTATTGAGAGTTATTATTGAGAGTCAGAGGAAATACTGACCTGCTACTTTCGGTCAGTTCTTCCAGCTGGACTCCCAGCGCGCAGCACTCCTCCTTCAGCCTCCTCATCAGGGAATTCTGGGAACTCAGCAGACCATCCAACTCTTTGACTGCAAGGAATTTTGGGAACGTTTTTCTCAAGTTAGATACAGTAGGGGAAGGAGAAGGGAAGAGGCTTTCTTATTTCACAACGTAAATGCAAAAAGGATTTTAGGGATTCGTGATGTCTTGTTAAATCGTAGTCTTAACTTTAGTGTAGCACAGAAATTAAACAAATATATTAATCAAATTCAAAATGTTGATCACTTTACTGACCATTTCCTCCTGGTCAAGCTTTGATTTAATGAATCCACCAAACAACCAAACACACAAGAGGAAAACCTCTCCGATATGGACAGAGCTGATCAATCAAAGCTACTTTTAGCAAATACTGCAGAAAAAGTGGGGTCCTTGTCTCTTTGAATGTGTTCCCAAAAATGTTTTTCTCGACACTCAAATTAAAATCGAAACTGTTCAAACAACAGGCAGAAATATATGGAGCAAAAACGCGAGCGCGTCAAATAGCGAATGGAACGTGTGTGAGAAGGAGCTGGTTGTTTGAACGCGCCTTCGTTCTCCTTTGCTTCCACCCTTGCTGCCACGTCCTCATGCGCTCATGGGGGCCTCTTTCCGAACAATCCAACACTGCGCTTTCATCGCTCCTTTGAAATAATCCACGTTCCGCTCTCCAACATATGTCTGCTCTTTTAAAATAACAATGGCTGCCGTTTGGATTGAGGCAGTGATCCACCTGCTCCAGCATTCTGTCAGTCGACCGAAACCAAAAGCTCTCGCAAGGACCCGCAGTCTTTGAAAAGTAGCTCATACTTCTGAAGTTTAAAAAAATATATATTTAGGTATTTTTTGCATACAGGCGATATTGTGAAGGAAATAAATAAATATGATGGAATGGAACTGTGCTATGACACATAATCTTACCCGGGAGGGTGAGTATTAGACACTTAAGGGTCGATGCCAACTCATGTTTCACATGATTTTATTCATTTTGTACTGGCTTCACCTTGCATCTTTATAGTGAATTATCATCGAAGCTTTCATTACACTGAACTTAGCCTCGGTCCCCAGATCACGGACCAAAATACAGCACGGTGGGCATAAACTGGGTACAACAGAGCATGAAACTAAATGACACAAAAACTGAGACGTGTGCACGAGCTCATACCCAACAAAGTTTGGTCAGTGCTGGAAAAGTTGCATGAAGAATGCTAATTAGCTGAACAGGCTTTGAATGCGTCTGGCCATGCGTAGGCCAAAAAGAACCCTGGGACACAGAAACACAGCAGAACTGGCACTGGAAACAAACGGAAAGAAATGAGGGAGGGGAGGGATGGAGAGAAGAAGCGTGGCGGGGAGGGAGGGAGGGAAACAAATATATGATATCATCTAGAGGCTGCTATTCTGCATTTAGGCAAAAAAGAAACATGAAAAAAAAAAAAGATCTGAAAAAAGGTGGGAAGGAGCAGAGAAGAAGGGGGGGTTGGTGGGGGGTGCGGACGGATGGAAGGACAAACGAACGGACAGAGAGGCGGGATTTGGAGAGCAAGAAAGCTAATTATCCAGCTCGTCTGTTGGGTTGCACGGGGAGAGGAAGTGATGCGAGCTACTAAAGGACGTCCACCCCTCCATCCCCTCCCCATCCACAGTGTCCTGCTGTGCTCTGATGTCAGCTCTCTTTAGACAACATGTGTGCTGCCGACATGCGCCAGAAACAAACCCTTTGTTTAACCCCCCTCCCTCTCCTCCATCCATCCATCCCTCCTTTCCTCCCTCTGTACCGTCCATCTTTGTTCCGCGTACCAGCAGGCTACCCGGTTGTTAAAGGGAACCACAGGTAAACAAACAGAACGGAGAAGAAGGGGGGGGGGGTGGGGGGTGTTGAGGGTGGGTGGTTGCTTTGAGGGTGGGGGGGGGGGATCCAGATGGTGCAACAGATGTGCTAGCAGCAGCAGCTCTGTACAGGACGCTCTGAGCTGGGTCTCTCTGCTCTGCTCCCTTCACCTTCCCTGCTATTCTCTCTTCTCCACTCATGGCTTCTGATCCGCTCCTTTGAGGTCACTTCGGCTCGAACGATTTGTGTTGCCGTCCGTCTCCTCCCACTCTGGCCATGTTGTGTCGGTGGGGAGCGAGGCGGCACAGTAAGAGGAATAAAACACCCTTCAACTGGAAGATGCAGGTTCAAGACCCTGTGTGGGACGAGGTCCGCCCCGCTGAAGTGTCCTTGAGGAAGAGAAGGAGATCCTCCCAGCTCAAGGCTGCGCTCCATTCCGTTCAGTTATGCTTTGTTCTGCCCTCTGCCCCCCATATCACCCTCCCCTCTGCGTAAGACAACTAATAAGCCTGTGCAGCGCCCAACAGTAAACCTTAATGGCACATTTGAGCACCTGCTGCACAGTCAAGATGTTCTTCACTGTGTGTGGCTCATTTAGTGCAGCCTCCTTTGGAAGTCTGACCCCAAATGTCCACCTGATCTGAATCCAACACACTTTAGAGGAGGGTCAAAGGTTTCCAGCACTGGAGAGTAAAATCCAAAACTGCTACATCCACTGAGACATAATATATATATATATATATATATATATATATTCATAGATACAGACATCAGGATTTAATGCAGCTGGTAGATGAAGTGGAGGGAATATCCGTGGAGGGGGAGCACTCACCTCTCTGCTGGTGTCCAGCCTCCGTTTGCTCCAGCAGCAAAGTCAGCTCTCTTTCTCGCTCACGCGCTGAAAGGGCCGCTGACGCCATTTCCTTCTCACGAGCCCGTTCTGAACTTTCTCTGTCCTGTCTGGAGAAGAGGACCGGGTTGTTGATACTGGGAAATTTCAAAATAGTGGTCGTTGATTAAATGCATAATTCAATCACAGTGTGTTGATTCAAACAGAAACTGAATGTTACTCTGCGCTTGAGAGGACTGAGTTCCCGTGCGACGCTTGTGGGTGAGCATGTCAACACTGTGAGCTACAACGTCTGTCTTAAGCATGTGATGCGTATTTCAACGGAATGGGACCTATATATAGGCTGCTTTCATTCAATTGTATTACATGTCAATCAAGTTGAGCATCATGGCGCACAAACTAGTTGTGTTTTGGTGGCATGGCTCTTAGTTTAGATTTAGAGATTATGACTTTTACATTTAAAACAAACTGCCCACTAGCTAAAACATTCATTGGTTCAGTAACTTGTTTGGAATACATAAGATTAACATTTCTAAATAATTCCATCATACTTTGCAACCGTTTCAAGTAGAAGAGGTTGTGAAGCAGATCAATGATGTGGAAAAAAGACTAGATCGAGATAGAGGTGAGAGATAGAACAAGAGGAGAGTAAACACGGTACAAACAAGAGAACGGGGGAATAGAATGACAGAGAGGACTCGGGGGGGTAGAAGGGTAAAAGGGCTCAAAGACCCCCGAGTGAGGCTGCAGCTGTCTACGAAACACCGACACTCGCACAAACACAATGGATCATTTTAGACTCCAACGCTGCAGTGCCGCTCTGCCCTGAGATACGACTTTGCATGAGCTGCTCGACAACCTCGGAATGTTCTCTGCTTGTTAATAACAATAGCATTCAGCTTCCAGCCACATTATCCCCGAAAATCAGTTGATCGCTCGCGTTTTACCACACGAGGCCTACATAACAATTCCGTGCTATGACAGTAACCCACCGGCTCTAATCTCCACACTTCGTTCACCTGATGATCCAACTTGTGCAGGTAAAATGCAAACTAACGTGGCTTTTGAAAAACACAGCATTTTCCTACTCTTTGAACCAAACTTTTCAAACTCAAGTCCAAATGTGACCAAACAACAGAGGAAAAGACAAAAGGAAAGAAAAACTACAAAGACAGGAAGAAAAAAACTAAAAACGAACAAATAAACAGAACTCTTCCTGAAGTCCAAAGGCGCTAATGAAGAGAGAATTCTCCAGTTTAAGTGAAAACTTTTCTCCCCTACAGCGCTTGGCCTGCATCTCTAAAGTGACCGCGTCTGTCTGTTCCTTCGTGTGTGTGTGTGTTCTCCTGCTGTCCTGCTGTCTGGGGTGTGAAAGCGGGTGGCGGGTGTGCAGGGGACACAAGGAGACTGTGTGTGTCTGTACTCGTACGAGTGTGTGCGTGTGTGTTTGAGAGTGAATGAACCCCCGCTGGGCTTGAACAGCAGCCTGAGCCACCAAAGCGCACACCAGGGCTCAGCGGGAGATGGCGGGCAGGCGTTGCCAGCCATTTGGTCCTGCAAAAGGTTCCAGGGGGCCGTGTGTATTTGCGTATGCCTGCGTGTGTGCGCGCGCGCTTGTGTGCGGTTTGGGGTGGGGTGCGTGGGGGGAGTCACACCAGACCTGTTTACCCACCAATTAGCATCAGACAGGCCGCCAGAAAGTTCCAGCAGTCGGCAATAGAGCGGTGGCGGTGGTGAGGAAGCGGAGAGCGATGGAAAAACAAGAAAGAAAGAAAGAAAGAGAGCGAGCGACACATTTGGCATCTGTTTGGTTTTGCTGATCTACTGAACCAACGTTTTAGTTAACAACTTAATAAAGTTGTACGCAACAGAGCGGAGCGCACACGGGGCCTTCATTCCAGGGGACCACCGCAGTCTATGTGGTAAGACCGGAGGGTGGAAAGACTCGTGCCCGATCGCCTCACTGACGCTCAAATCGAAGCTGGGAAGTCGGGCTTGTGAGGTCGTCTACCCTGCGCCATTTTGTATCCAGAATCAAATCCAACGCGCTGACTGGCAGACTGCTGTCAGGAAATGGCCGCTGATGAGCGCTGTCAAATTAAAGCATAAAAAAAGAGACGCCCCGGGGCGAGAGTTTCGGGGGCGACGGGTAGAGCAGAGGCTGAATATGTGGTGCTGGCGCTGGATAATTCTCCCTGGACAATAATCTGCCTTCCAGCTAAGTGGTGAATGGGCTCTGGGTTGCTGCCTGTGGCAGGAACTCTTCGTTGGTCCTGGGAGGCGATAGACTGAATGTTCAGTTAGCGGATAGCTGGGCCTGTTTGTATATGCCTGGCCTGGTGCACTGGAGGACAGCTTGATAAGTGTGGCGCGAGCCGCACGGGCCAGCGGCCTAAGGTGGGCTGGAATAGCTCTGGGGCTGCAGCCAGGTACAGTGGCTGCTGGGTAAGTGGGGGGTGGCAGAGGCGGCGGCGGCTGGCCGGCTAGCTGGCTGGAGCCGCGAGGAAGACGAGGGGGCCCAGTCTGCGCGGGCTGCCTAAGTGGGCACTATTCAAGCTGTTGCCCATTAGATGTGGGGTGCCAGGGCCTGACCGAGCACAGAGTTTGCCGCACCCCACAGTGCAGCCGGCATCCCACGCCAGAACCGCCAAATGCCGCGTTTATCAGGGAACGAGCACAAATTGGAGTCAGACGGTGGATTTGGAGGAATTGGAGACGTTCGTCAAACGGCAGACACCACCGACCGCTGTTTGGACTAAAGTAAAATCGACTAAAATGGAGCAAACTCCATCCCAATGGACACAATGTCACGTGGACACACACACGCAAAGAAGAGAAAAGTTCTTCAAATAAATGCATATTCATAAGTATGTCTAGAGAGATATTCCTGTGTTGTAAAATAAAGGTGCGAAATGAACACACAGGTGAACAGATTGTCAACTCGGCTCATAGCACAAACATCGTAACGCACAAACGTTTTGTTCGCAACTAAGAATGTTGGCGAGATGGGGAGTCAAGAGGAATAGAAATAGAAACGTTTAACTATTTCTGTCACAGAGGACATCTGTGCAAATATCTGTACTTCTACCAATTTATCTGATCCGATTTAACAGCAAAAACATAAAATATGGGTGGTTTCAACGGACGATGCATACCTGCGTCATCTAAAAAAGGTTGATTAAACAGTATCGACAAAAAAAAAGAAATGGATAACCTCCTATTTACCTTTAAACATGTACCTCGATTTTAAAAACAATTCCATTTCCATTCAAAAATGTAAACGGAGGCTGAGGCACCTGCAGCTCAAATAATTGTCTAATGAGACTTGACTTTGATTTATTTAAATGCACTGATGCTGTTCTATAAAACTACAACTGTATTACAACTATTTGCTCCACTGCTCAAAACGGAGACACTTGTGATGATTCATTTTTTTGTGGAGCAATTCCAGGGGATCCACAGCTATTAATGATAGACTGCATCAATCACACCGCATTAATATTCAACAGTTTGATACGCAGATCTACAAAAGATGATTTCTTCTAATGTGTGAGCGGGCTTGTTTACGTGTGCGGCGGGCGGGAGAGCGGCCTCGTGTAGGCCCGTCGCACCGGCGCTGCCAACAAAAGGCCGAGTGCACCGCGGAGAAGATAAAGCGACATATTGAACATTTTTCCGCCGCTGTGTGTCACAACGCCGGCGTACAATAAACATCTGAATTGTTCCTCGTGGCAGGCCGCACGCCGCGCGATTTTCTCTCACACGCACCTCAATGTGTTTTAGCACATTTTTATGGAACCTCGGGGGTGATGCGAGTCAATCACTCTGCTCCCACATCCGTCTTGACGCTCTTCCTTATGAAACCAACCAACTAAACACGGAGGCAGCATTATGAGGCCTCGCTGCTCCCTTCACTCTGTGCCCATCCGTCCGTCCATCCACCTATTCACCCATCCATCCGTCCGTCCGTCCATCGACCATCTCTCTGTCCACAGCGTTCTCATTTCTGCTCCGATCATTTTTTTTTCTTTCTGCTGTTTCCATCTCTCCCTCCCACCCTTTTTTTTTTCCTGTAACTAAACTGGCTGTGTCTCTCTCCATCTGCTGGTTCTTCCTTCAGCGGCCCTGCACCTGTTCACACCTCCTCTCCTGTTGGCCACCTCTTCTCTCCTCTCTACCCCCTCCTTTATCCGCGTCTCTCTGTCCCCCTCTCCATCTCCCTCTCCCTCTCTGCCAGGCCCGTTCCTGGCTCAGTTAGCCTCTCTGTCATTCAATCCATCTGTCTGCAAGTCAACTTTGTTTACAGCGGGCGGCCCAAGCCTCCTTTCTTCTTCAAGGAGCGCCGAATCCCCCCCCGACCGCCTCCAAGGTCAGCGGCGACCCAAACGAGCCCGGATCCCTCTCTCCCCCCCCCGCACCTCCCCTGCAACTGTTAAATTAACACAAATGAAAATTGCCTTCCCCTTCAGGAACCCGAGCATAAGTACGGACAATAAGTCTCTTGAAATATGCACGTCGGAAATCCTTGAATAAATTGTTGAATAAATATTGAATAAATACAGGCATCTACTGATGCCCACTCCCCACGGAAACAAATATTAGCCATCACAGCACACATTCCCTCAGAGAAAAAAAAATACTATTCAAGTAATTAGCTGCTGATTGGCCTCTGTCATCATCTATCTGCTCACAAAAACAGAGCGAGAGAAGTTTAAAAGTCTTAATTGGCGCAGATGACGGATGGTCTTGGTACAGAAAGGGCGGACCGGCAGCGCAGGCATCTGTGATTTTAAAAATGAAACACACAGCATACGTGCAATATGCTCCCATACTGACCGAATCCAGGAAACCCAGGACTCTACAGGAATAGTTTTGGGTGACATATGTGGCAGGGCTGAGGGTCGAATCAATTTCGTCTAAGAAGGTAAATGATCGGCTGGGATTAATTATTTCAATCAGACTTTTGATAAAGTATATAGCGCATGTTATATGAATGTTACAGTATAAATCTCAACCATAATAGATTAGATTATAAGAGGAAACAAAAGAACAGTTACCATGTTAACACGTCTAGAATTGATATGCACATATTATTATTTAAGACAGCGAT